GCATGCTGTACTCCTCCTGTTCCTGTTCGAGCCGGAGTTTGAAACCAAACTTCTCCTCAAGAGGATAGATGGGTCGATTCATATCCAATGTAGATCAAACTTTCTATTCACTCGCAGGATCCGGACGGTCCGGGGGACCACCACGGCTCCTCTCTTCTCGAGAATCCATACATCCCCTGTTCGAGCCGGAGTTTGAAACCAAGCTTCTCCTTAAGAGGATTGATGGGATGATTCAAATCCAATGTAGATGCAAGTTTCTATTCACTCGCAGGATCCGGGCGGTCCGGGGGACCACCACGGCTCCTCTCTTCTCGAGCATCCATACATCCCTTTTCAGTGTATGGACAACTATCTTTCGAGCACAGGTTGAGGTTCGGCCTCAATGGGGAAAATGGATCACCTAACAACGCATCTTCACAGAAGAAGAACTACGAGATCACCCTTTTCAACTAGGAGATTGGATCTAGCCACATAAGAAGAGAAGAATGCTTGGTATAACCAAGATGACATGACGATATTAAATGAACCAGACTTATTAGGATAACTAACCTAGAAGGGCCTCGACCTCCAGCTAGCTGGTCATGATCGATCTTGGACGATTTGATTTCCAATTTGCGGTTCCGATTCGCGTACACCTGCATCATCGATCTTCGATTTGCGATTTGATTTCCAATTTGCGGTTACGATACGCCTACACCTGCATCGGCTGCTAAGGGCAGCACATTTTGGCATGATTCTTACCAGGAGGAAGAGGGGAAGAGTTTAAAACTTTTTGAATATTTAAATCTTATTTTATCGAACATATCCTAAAAACTTAAATCAATAAATTTATGAAACTCACTTTATTCAAATTTTAAAATTTTTTGAATATTTAAATCTTATTTGATCAAACATAGCCTAAAAACCATACATCAATAAATTTATGAAACTCACATAAAACCAAAACCATATATCAATAAATTTATGAAACTCACACAAACAAAACCATTTACTTAAATTTTAAAACTTTTTGAATATTTAAATCCCATTTTATCAAACATACCCTAAAAACCATACATCAATAAATTATTGAAACTCACACATTTTAAAAATTAACAAGGTTGAGAGACAAACAGATAGAGAGGGGGTGAGCGAAACGAAGAGAGAGAGGGGGAGAGAGGAACGAGAGACATAAACTCTAAAACAGAAACAAGAGAGAGAGGGAGAAAGAGAAAGAGAAAGAG